GATGGATTGTGTTCTCCCTGCTTGAAGAGTGAAGGAAAGGACAATAGCCGGGTTTTATACAAAGCTTTTGGGACATTGCACTCTGCAGTCCCGTCCCACGTGGTGGTGGGAGGGGGAAGCAGTGAGGGTGTGGGAGGCGGAGCTCCCTGGAATCCTGTCCCCCTGCTTACCTTGCTGCAAGAGCATTAGCAGAAGGAGCAGTGACTCCCGTAGGCTTTCAGCCAACCGGAGTCAGACTTTTCTCTGGGGGTCCTGTTGTGCCTCACAGCCTCTGACATGTGGGCCTGTGTTTTGGGAAAGGCAACTGGGGAGACTGCCATGATCACTGAACATGGGGAAGTACGGCTGTCAGATGCCACACCCTCCTCCTCTTTTCTATACTTCCTTAAAATTGTTTCATTATTTCAGTTTTTAACGGTATCCCGAGAGGCCCACGAGCAATGCCAAGAATATGGCTTCTTTTCAAGTACATTTACCTTAAAGGCCTGTGCTGTCTTGGTTGAGTTGCCCCAGACTCACGTGAAGGATTTCTTATGGGGGAAACCCCTTAGGGTGATTCTTTCCTGGAGGTGTGGCCTTCTGTAGCTAGTGGTTCTGACTCCTCTGACTAGGAGTTTCGGGTCCATATGCACCATCCCATTACAAATAGAAAATCAAGTTGTCAAAATAAAAGAATGATCCCTTTGGGTGCCTGGGTGGCTTGGTCGGTTAAGCCTCCGACTCTTGACTCTTCATTTCAGCTCAGGTCATAATCTCACAGTTTGTGATAACCTATGTAGATGTGTGTGAGAAATAGAAAATCCCGTTTATATTTCTTTTGGTCAGCAAAAACAGGTACCAATGTTGGTTTTTCTTTTTAAAAAAAATTTTTTTTAAATGTTTTTATCTATTTTTGAGACAGAGAGAGACAGAGCATGAACAGGGGAGGGGCAGAGAGAGAGGGAGACACAGAATCTGCAGCAGACTCCAGGCTGTGAGTTGTTAGCACAGAGCCCAATACAGGCCTCGAACTCATGAACTGTGTATCATGACCTGAGCTGAAGTCGGACACTTAACCAACTGAGCCACCCAGGTGCCCCCCTCCAACTCTGACTTTAAAGCATAAGTCAAACTAATCTGTGCATGTGGCCTCCCATCCCTGGGTGACACTTTTTAAATTTTAATGAACTACTTAACTATTGTTAGAGAACAAAAATTGTCCCTGTTACCAGGAGTTTACAATCTCAGACCTGTTTGGAAAATGCCCATCAGTTCCTTTGTTGTCCTTTAAGCTCTGGAAGTATTGTCCAGTCCTCTCTGCCCACCCCTTTTAGAAAAGTGAGGACTTGAGAGTTTGGTCAGAGGTGGGTAATGGGCTGGCCTATGACAATAGGGGAAGGTGGGCCTGGAATCTGATGCAGGGGGGGAGGCAGCCTTGGAAGCATGGAAGAGTGTAGGAAGCGAGTCTCCAGGAATCAGGATGGAATCCAAGGTAAAGGTTCCTCAAAGAGCAGTCAGAAGAACGGGTGTGTTTGGGATCCCAGCAGAAGTGACTTTCTGCGGTGAGAGATTTTTTCCTCTGGAGTCTGGATCTGGGCCTGAAGGAATGAGGAGGGAGTCAGAGGGGTCTTGGCTAAAGACTTCCTCCCTGGTGTTTCCACTTGACAACAGGGAAGAGCTAGTCTCTGGATTAGTGCCAAAAAGAAGGCCCCCTGCTGTGTGTTGCCATCAGCCCTTCAGGCAGGGAAAGTTCTGGCAAGCTAATGACATCCTTGAGCAACTTAAGTTGTCATGAGGAAACAAAACACTTTTGTAGCATTCCACGTCTTTAAACACATGCAACAGTTTTTGCCCCCAACACAAATGTGTTTTTTATTAAAATGTCAGGCAAGTAGGGTGAAGAATTTGGAAGAGTTCAAATGGTTCCGCAGCCAACCAAATGGCTAGTTCATTTTTTTTAGATTCTTTATCGTCCTTGCAGATGCATAACAGTCGAAGGCATTTTGCATTCTGCCTTTTTCACGGGCGGCATGTTGCACACATTTTTCTGTTTCTGGGAGCCTCTGTGATTGTCTTCTTTAATGGCTATGGATAGAACTTCCTAAAGAAGCCCATGACTTCGAGACACAATTTTTGTTTTGGATATTTAGGCTCTTTCCAGGTGTTTGGTTTGCCTCCATTATAATGCTCTTATCACAACAGGGTGCATACTTCTTTGCTTGTCTTGAATTACTCCCAGAAGTGGAATGACTACAGCAAAGGCTACAGACCTCTTTATGGCTCTTTTATGTATTACCACATTGCCATGCAAGAGTTGCGCTCCAGTGTCCCCTCGTACGGGATCACACCAGCTAAACTGCAGCTCAGACAGCATTGTGTTTTCCCCATTTTCACAAATTTAGTTGATATAAAATGATGTCTAAAAAGTGCTTTCTTTAATTGTCACTTCTTTCCTTACTAGAAGAGATAAAGTCCCTTCCATATATTTGAACTTTATTCCTGATGTGAATCATTTATTCATCTCCTTTGCCTTTTTCTTTACTTGAGGCTTAGTTTTTTTCTTACATTTCAACAAGATGTTAACCCATTTGTCATAGTGATACAAAGTATTCTGAAATCTATTCAGTGTTTGCAGTGTTCTGAAGTCCAGTGATCTTTGTACAATCTTATCTGTTTTTTGTTGCCTTTGAGCGCATCTGTTACTTCAAACATACGTAAGTGTTAGCTCTGTTAAGGAATGGTGGACTATTCTATTATGTGCTAGTTCTAGAATTTAATTGTAAAATAAAATATTTAATTCTGTTATCCATCCAGAATCTTTTATATTTCCTGTGGATCTTACTGAATGCTTTTCTGATTTGCTGTTCACATATCACAGAGAAATTTGTTTAATAATCATGCCTCCCCCTGCCCATTGTACTAAAAATCTGTCGTATCACATGCTATCCTTGGTACTTGTTTATGGACTGCCTAGATTGTGCTACATTCTTCTTTTTGAACCATACCAGAATGAATTAATTTTACTTCACAACATTTGCTAAAACTTAGTTCCTTTTCAGAATAAAAATTTTTTTTAATATTCATTTTTGAGAGAGTGTGAGTGGGGGAGGGGCAGAGAGAGAGGGAGACACAGAATCTGAGACAGGCACCAGGCTCTGAGCTGTCAGCAAAGAGCCTGACTCAGGGCTCAAGCCCACAGACCATGAGAATATGACCCGGGCTGAAGTTGGCTGCTTAACTGACTGAGCCACCCAGGTGCCCGAGAATAAAAATTTCTTACTGCTTCTATTTCCTGGTGAATTTTTAGCAACTCTGCTGGATTCCAAAATATTGCTTTAGAATTATTAAAACTGCATTAGATCCGTAAGTTAAGTTTAGAAGAACTGGCATTTACCAATATTGGTATTCTCATTATACACCTTAATATTTCACCAAATCAAATTACATTTTATAGAATAAAGGTTTGTGGTTTCATTCTAAAGGTTTAATGCCTCTAAGTAAATTCCTGAAAAATTTATTACTTTTTTTTTGATCAGTTATGAATAGAATCTTTAATCGTTTTCTTACTGAAAGTACTGAGTTACCTGCTTTCGTTTGTACTGTTAGGGGTACTGTTAGGTTAATGGGGTGTTCGGTTGGTTTGTTTTTACTTATATGGCATCATTATTAGTTGTCAGTTGTATCTGAGGAAATGTAATCGTCCTGGGCACTGTGGAGGGCCTCCAGCCTGTCCAGGAACTATTGCTCTGTGACCTTCTAGAAAGGCTTCTTTCTTTCTTTGATAGCCTAAAAGTAGAACAGAGTGGGATAGAGAAGAAAAGGAAAATGCAAGCGTGCACAGGCACATCCAACAGATGATCTCATGCCCTACAAACTTCCCAGGAAGGTGGCAACTGAAGCCTTCATGTGTTCTGTGACATTCACCAAGGAGCCTTCCCAGAGCCTGGGGTCCCCAAAGAGGAACTTGGGGTTCCAGATTGGAAAAGAAGATCGCTTAAAATATCTTGAAATACTTACATGTGGCTAGAGAGAATCACTGTTCCCCCTCTGTCGCCATAACAGGTTTATCTTACTAGGAGGCGGTGTTTTCTGGTATCCACCAAAAGAAATGTCAGTAATGTCAGTAGTTAAGTTTAAAATTACAAGCAAGAGGGGCGCCTGGGTGGCCCAGTCGGTTAAGCGGCCGACTTCGGCTCAGGTCATGATCTCGGGGTCTGTGGGTTCGAGCCCCGCATCAGGCTCTGTGCTGACGGCTCAGAGCCTGGAGCCTGTTTCAGATTCTGTGTCTCCCTCTTTCTCTGACCCTCCCCTGTTCATGCTCTCTCTCTGTCTCAAAAATAAATAAATGTTAAAAAAAAAATAAAAAAAAATACATTTAAAATTACAAGCAAGAAGGGGCACCTGGGGGGTTCAGTTGCTTGAGCATTCAACTCTTAGTTTGGGCACAGTCATGATCTCACAGCTTTGTGGGTTCAAGCCCCGCATCGGGCTCTGCGCTGGTAGTGTGGAGCCTGGTCGGGATTCTCTCTCTCCCTCTCTCTCAGCCCCCTCCCCCTGCCCCTCGACTTGCACTGTGTCTGTCTCAGAATAAATAAACAAACTTAAAAGAAATAAAATACAAGCAAGACAATTGAATTAATGATCCAGTGGAATATTTTTCCTCTGGATGTGGCATCAGGGCCCTTTCCCAGGTTTACCCTGCCCCACCCCCGTGCTGTGAGGTGGTACCACATAATCTCCTCCTGCTGTTGGGGACAGCTAAGGCCACTCATGGAGGGACAGGACTGCCATCCGAATGCTGCCTCAGAGTCTTGCGGTCTGAATCCCCTGTGAGCAGGTTCATGCAGTCTTCTGTGTACCGTAATACATCCTTCCTGGAATGTTAGTCCAAAAGTAGAGTCAGACTGTGGAAAGAGTTAGTAGAGTTTGTAGTTCGATCCAAGTTCAAATCCCCACTCACCTCTTACAAGCCAATTATGGGAAAGTTTATCTTTTCCCATCCATAAAAGGGAGACAAAAGGACCACTTGATGTAATTATTATTTATTTCTTCAGGAAATATGAACGAGTGCCTACTGTTTGCCCAGCACTGATAAAAGTGCTGTTGTGGCAGAGAATACAACAGACTCATGAAACTTATATCCTGGGGAGTAGAGGAGGATAGATACATATCAGAAATAACATGAATTCATATCAGCTAATAATACATGCCTCAAGAAATGAGACAGCAAACTATGACAGAGCAAGGGTGATTTTTCCTTTAGGAAGGGTGATCAGAGAAGGCTTCTCCAAATGAGAAATGTGAGCGCAGAACTGAATGAAGCCTGGGAATGAGCCACAGGAATATTAGAGGGAGAGCATTCCAGGCAGAGGGGAACACATGTGCCAAGGCCCTGTGGTAGGAGGGAGCAGCATACTTGTCTGAAGAACAGAGCAGGGGCCTGTGTGGTTAGAGCAGAGGGAGTGATGGAGAGCACGCTCGTGATGTCAGAGAGGTAGAAAGGATCCAGATCAAGGATGGCAGGGATCAGCAAGCAAGGCCAGCAGCCATATCCAGGCTGTGGCTTGTTTATGGGTAGCCCTCTAGGTAAGAATGGTTTCGGTTTTGAAAAAGTTGGTTGAAATTAAAAAGGACTATATGACAGAGACCATATGTGTCCTGGAAAGCCTAAAATATTTACTGTCTTGTCTTTTTTTTCTTTTAAAAAAAATGTTTATTTTTGACACAGGGGGTTGGCAGGCAGAGGAGCGGGGGGTGGGGGTGGGACAGAAGATCCAAAGTGGGCTCTGAACTTAGTGCAGAGAACCCCATGAGGGATTGGAACCCACACACGGCAAGATTGTGACCTGAGCTGAAGATGGACGCTTAACCGACTGAGCCACCCAGGTGCCCCCTGTCTGGTCTTTTATGGGGAAGATTTGCCAAGTCCTGATGCAGGGTCTTGGAGACCATGGTGAGGACATTGCACTTGTAGGTGTGAAACGGAGCCACAGTGGATGGGAGGGAGTGCCTGTGGGAAAGTTGGGCGAGAAAGTAACACGATGTAACAGAGTTTTAAAAGGATGGCTCCGGCTGCCATGTTGGCTCAGACTATAAAAGGGGGTGGGGGTGGGGGTGTGGCTGCAGCAGGACACATAGTTAGGGCACCATTATTACCATCCTGGTGTGTACCAGGCAGCCTGGCAGGAGGTGGATACTGCGTCCTTGGTGTTGGCAGCAGGGTATAGAACTTGGGTGTAGAATGTATTTCAGAGATGGCACCAGAGGTGGCTTGACTGTGGAGTATGAAAGGGAGAAGTGAGTAAAGGGTGACGCCAAGATGTTTGGTCCACACTCTACTGTTGTCATAGGAACTGAATGAATGATCTTTTCTGTCCCAGAGTTTGACGCCTCCAGCTCTTCCACCACTGTGCAATCAGGGTTGCCTTCCTAAGGTACACTTTTGACAGTGACCTTCTGCTTTTAAAAACCTACACCAGTTAAAAAAAAAAAAAACAAAAACAAGAACGAAAAACTACACCAGCGTCCCATTAGCAGTAGAACAGTCATGGCTGCCCATAATCTGACTTCCCTGTACCTGTGCCCTCATTTTTTTCCAGGTGTTCCCTTTCATTTCACCTGACCCCAAAACGAATCAGTGAATCATCTGTTGGTCCCCGTGTGCACTTCATACTTTCCACCAACAGGCCTCTGCTCGTGTGTGTCCTCATTCTTAGCCTCATTGGTTGTCAACACTCTGACCTGTTAGGGTCTACCTTTTCAATAATGCTATCCCTCAACACCCTTCTTACCCTTCGAGTCTATTCCAATGCGCCTTGTCTTCACCTCTTTAAACAGGCAGCTTATTTCCCATTTGCAACATGGTTTTGTTTTTTTTTGTTTTGTTTTGTTTTTTTACACGAGTCTTTTTAGACCAGACTACCAAGATGGAGACAACATGGCGTATGGTGAAATCCCAACTCTGTATTTGGAACCTGTATGACTTGGAGCACGTTACTTCACCTTTTAAAGCCTCAGTTTGCATTGCTGAAAAAGGGAGATAATGACTACAGCTACTCCACACCACTAATTGCAAGTCTAAAATGAGATAGTTCTTGTATAACACCTTGCATAGTTCTGTGCCTGCTGTATGCTCAGGGCTCCTTAAATCCCTGCTGTATCAATTCACCTTCCTTTAAGAGCTAAGGAAGTATCTTTCTCTCCTGCTTTCCTGGTTGCTTTTTACACTGGTTTTGTATACGGTAGGCAAATGAATATATTATAAAAACTAGAGCAAAATAGGCTCATGTTCTGGAATTGACCGTGAGGTCACTTCCCACCGCTACCACCACCAGCCACATCCAGCCGTAGGATATATGGTCAGACTCCTCACATTGTCAGTGGGGGCAATCATTCCTCCCTGGAAAAATCCTGATGACAAGCCACGATGTTCTGGAAAGCACCTACCCATGGTGTGTACCCATAGGAGCTCTCACCGGGATGATGATTGTCAAAGCCTCTGCTTCTTCTCCGGCAAGCACTGAAGCTTGATCATTCCTTAAGCAGTGGCCCTCAAAATGTCATCCCCGGACCAGCAACATGAGCGTCCTGTCCCCTGGAGCTTGTTAGAAGCGCCAGTTCCCAGGTTCCACCCCAGGCCTGGTAGAGCGAGCACAGAGGAATAGTGTCCAGCAGCTTCTGCTGTAACCCATCGATGGTGCCCACCAGTGTAACGAGGCACTGCCGTGGCAGAGGGAGGCATCGGGATGCAAAGCCTCCTGTGTTCTTCATGGTGCTGCCCCATTCAGTCCCAGTGGGACACTTGTGCTTCATCTCTCTGCTTTTCGGTTGGTGCCATAGTAAAGGCTGTGAGGGCCAGGAGATGTTTGCAGCAGTGCCAGAGAAGAGGGGGAACACACGCTCTTGGGTGCCACTTTTTGTGGTCAGCGACGCTGGGCTCCTTTTAAGATGCTTCACGGAGTCGATGGGAACAAAGACAACGGTGTGACCCACAGGTAACACCAGGACATGTCATTTCGTCAGGAGTTCGGTTTGGGTGTGACTCCTTTTCACGTAGCTGTTGATGCATTTGGAAATACAGCAACTAAAGTTAGTTCGAATGATTTTGAGCAATTCGGAAATAGTGCAAAGAACATTTCGTGGCTCCACCGTGTTAAGGTCTGGGGAGCCCTTAAATATCTCTGCAGCTGTGAGGAAAGTGCAGCCACCTTTTTATATACTTATCAGCTTTTTAAAGAACATGATACCCCGTCTATCATTTTTCTTTTCTTTAGGCTCCTGGTATGACATGAAAAGTTATCTCTTCAACAGAGCGACTCTTTTAATCCAAATTGAGTTGAAATAAAATTACTCCAGACCTTATTATTCAGACCTGTGCCTTCTCTCCATACCACCGGCTTTTGCCTTCTTTGCTCATTGCTCTGAGGGAGGGTAGGCACAGGAGAGGACCACACCGCACATTAGCCCCTGTGGTTGCTGGTGTGCAGATCTAAATAATATTCGGTGCCCAAGAGGTGCTCTTGGCATATAGAAGGAAAATGTTAGAATTTCTCGTTAGGATTAACTTTCATCTCAGGCTTTGGAGGTTTTTTGTGCATATTTAGGGATGGGGTCCTATGCTGAAACATCTTTTCCTAAGGGGTACGTGTGATCAAAATTATTTGACTGTGTCTCAGGGCAGGGTAATAGGATGGGGAAGGGATTTAGGCAAAAGGTCGAAAAAGCGGATACCAACAAATTCTAGGACTTCTTTGTGGATTTCAATGTTGTCATGTTACCAACTCAGGAATAATGACAATAAATAATAGTTTTGTCTCCTATCATGTACTGTTGGGTTCAGACCATGGTGGGTGAATCAGACAGATGAAGGGAAAAAGAAGCAGACACAGCAGCTTTATGTTGAGTTGTCTCTTTGCTTGTGCCTCTCCCACTGGGTGGGTTGCCACTGAGTGAACAGCCAAAGTGGAGCTACCTGGGGTGGCAGAGAAGGTACCGAGATGGTCCTGCAGCTGGTGGGTCCATTTCTGCACTGCTGGTTGCCCTTTCAAAGTCCTGCATTTCAGAGCTGTCTGCAATGGTGAGATCTGGGTAAATAGGACCCCTTTAAGTGATGGTGCAGAAGGCCACATGCCTTGAAGGGAAAAGACCACAGGGCACAGAATGTGACCATATGCCTGTCCCCCAAGCTGCCTTTCTGTCGCTAGGCTATAGTTACATTTGTTTCTCTCTCTCACTCTCGAATGCTTCTGAGAAGTTTCAAAGGAAGGTAAGCAGTACCTATCTCATTTACACGCTTCTCTGGTAGAACAGCTCGGGTTTCTGCTCATCCTGGGCAGGGGACTTTTCTAAGAACAGATTTGGCCCTACACACCCTCTCCCAAGGATGTTGCATGGCTGTGGTCACCAGTCTCCCCCTCGCCCATAGGCTGGCCACTCGCTTCTAGAATGAATTCTTGGGGAGCTTTGCAATGGGTCTTTCCTTTGTAGTCTGTCTTTCAGAATTCTTGTCCTGCTTTGCTCTAGAGGGGGCCACAAGCGGCCCGTGCTGACATTTGTCCTTGTCCTTCCCCACAGGCAGCACAAGGGGGTGGCCACAGGACCCTGCTATATGGCCACGCGATTCTCCTGCGGCACTCCTTCAGCGGAATGGTAAGCACATCTGGATGTCCGCTTTCACCATTCGAGGAGGAGGAAAAAGATGAAGAGGGGAGGAAGTATAAGAAACCAACAAGCATCTAGATTATGTTAACACACAAGTAATTTGGAATGTAAACATTATTGCTTTGCATTTTCTTCATATAACTTACTCATTTTGCAATTAGGGATTTGCCTAATGTCTAACCACTCTCCTCCCCACTCTGGGAAGAAAAAGGACCTTGTCTTTTCTTTTTTTAATTTAACTAAACCTAACCCTATCAAGGACAGTGCCTCATACTAGATGCTCAATAAATATTTGTTCAACTGATGAGGAAATAAACCATGAAATAATTCGTTAAGCATATAAGGATAACCAACAGAGAAGAAAAATCAAATGAGATTTTTATGAAATTTCTACTCTTCTGCTAGCTAACGGAAATGGGATGGTATCCATTGCTTTCAGTCCTGGAATAATTGGAAGGTATTATGTTAATCCAGAGGCTGTAGGAAGATAAGGAGCAAACCGTCACAGAAAGCTCATTGAGCTGTAACTAATTAGGGGTCTGGAACCGGAACTAACCAAAATGGTGCTAACTCAGTGTAACATGAGAAAAAGTGTTCAAGTTTTAAGTAAATATAATTAGAAAAATCTGGATACTGTAGAACTTTTGCAGGGCACGTTAAGGAGACTATGGTGATCTCAGTCGAATGTAACACGTGCCAGCTCTAATCCTGTTTGCTTCCATCCCTGTATTGCTCATCGTCACTTCTATCAGTGTAAGGGAGGCTCGTCTTCTTTCTCTGGCCCAAGTGGAAAATGTTACATTAATTCAAGACTTCGTTTTCACACATTTACACCTGCAGTATGCTCACAGTTCATCTCAAAGCTTGAACTGTCAGATTGGCAGCAGGAGCTGCAGCTGGCTCTTAAATAATTTATTTATGGTGGCTTTTTTTTTTTTTCTTCCTGAGGACTGGTAAGAAGTTGACCTTTTCAGCCTGAACATTCTTCTGTTGTAGTCTTTCATGGCAGAGGACAGAGAACAAAAGTGACCAAATGGAAGGTTATAGGAGCAGGAGATGGGGACATTTAGAGAGTGGGGAAACTTTGTATCCTGATGATGTCTAGAACGGAGATGGGATCATGTATCTTTCAGAACCTGGTGCTTATCCATAGGGTAAATAAAACCTTAATACCTCTCTTTTCCTACCTGAACAGACTAAACAAAACCTCAAACAGCACGCCTCTCATGGCTTTGACAACTTGGGCTAAAAACATGGTAGAGATGTGAAGGATTATGTGATTTATTATTATATTTACTGTCCCCCAGGCCCAGAAAAATTTGGATTCACAGTTAACATAAACTCTCTACTCGCTAGTTCTTTTTAGGAGTAGCTCTGAGAATGAAGCCTGTGACATAGGATTTTGGACAATGCAATGATTCTCCATTTATCTGTGGCAGAGAAGTAGAAGTAGAACTCAGAAACCACATTTCAAGTGCATATCTGCCAACCAATTTGATTCTAAGATCAGCCACTGTGCCTGCCAGTAAAGGGGGCAAGGAACAGGCTATGGCTTTTTTCCATTATTATTTTAATTATCAATGTTAAGTTTTACATGCACATGCATTTTTATAATCAGTGGCGGGGGGGTTGGGGGGAGGGGATCCCGTACACATTGAGAAGTCCTGAAGCTCATAGAAAGTTGGAAAACCAAAATAAATACAAGTAGGGGAATCATCATGGTCCATCTCACTGTCCAAAGAGAACTTCAGATATCATTTTGGTGTAATTCCTTTTAGCCTAGTTGCCAGACATTTAAGGTTTGTGTACCTGTTAATTGTGCTGTTTTGCATATGTTCCATGCTATTACACACTCTGGATGAATACTCTTAATGGTAACATATTTCATAAAATGAAGGACCAAAGTTTATTAACTTTTGCATTATTGTTGGTTGTAGATGTTCCATTTATATTGTCTCCAATTTAAAAGTTTCTCAGTATCTTTGAACTAAAGCATATTAAATCTGTT